GGTTATTCCTATAAAATAATCGTAATTAAGTGGTAATGCATCGCGTATGACGTTTTATTATTATTATAATTAGTTCTTACAAGTATTATTACGTTCTTTGTAAATACGCAAAATCGAAACAAAAGTTAAAAAACAAATAATATTTTTTAATGAAATTATTCGATTTAGAGTTGCTACAATTTTATGACTAGGACAAATCCATACACCGAATATATCTCAGAAATAGATTTCATAGATAAGATGAACAATACCAAGATGAATTGATAATGAATGGTAAATTCAAAAAAAGGAAAATGATAAATAATGATTATTACAAGCTGAAAGGACAATTACCATTGATTTAAATTGGCTTTTTCCACATAAACTATATGAACCATATATATATTTACCTAGTTTTTAACTATAATAGGAAGTTAAAATCTATGGAAATCTGGACATATTTTCTGATGGCAATAAAATTATGGACAATGTATAAATATCCTAAATGTGCAATATAAACAGAGATTCTAATACCAACTTACAATCAAAGGTATAATTCTGTGCAGTAAAATTGCCAATATCGCTCATACTAATAGTTATTAAGGATATATACTAACTTGAGAATAGAAAACTCCAGCAATATTCAAACAAAAGTTTTTGTTTGCACTGTTAAGGTTACTTGAATTTTGGTTCATATCTAACACATTACAATATACAGTACAAAATTGATTGCTTTATCATTTTTATTTGACTGAACTAAATTTTTAATAGGAAAGTGTGGTTAAAATTGTAAGTGACAAATAATATTCTCGTCAAACAATTTCTTTTAATCGAATTAACAATTGAGCCAATAATTTATCGCTTTCAATACTCTACATAACTTAAAAATATAGGAAAAATCTTGCTTAAAACTTATTTATGATTCAGAACTAGTTCGTGAATTATACTTGAATATTTTATTTAAAGGAATAGTAACGTTATTTTATTAAGTAGTGAGTGTATTATTTCACTTTATTTAACTCAGCATGATTCCTTAAGATTTATTGAAGAAAGATTATTCCTATAAATGGTATATAATAAGAGAGAAAAACATTTACCTTTTATTTCTCTATTTCTTTCGAGATCACAATTTAATTGTAAGATACGTTAAATTTAGAGAAAGAAATTTTTGAGACATCGAGATCACAATTTAATTGTAAGATACGTTAAATTTAGAGAAAGAAATTTTTGAGACATCGAGATCAATCTAATTAGAAGCCATATCAAGACAAAATCTTCAATAACTTGGCACATTTCTATGAGTGGACACTTAAACTTTAACCAATCCAATAAACATAATTTATTTCAGCATGAAGAACTGATATCCAATTTTATTAAGAAACAAAAAAAGAAAGCCCTGTAGGGGGCTCGAACCCCTAACCTTGTGATTAAGAGTCACACGCGCTACCGATTGCGCCAACAAGGCTTATATTTGATGTTTTTGCTTGAACAGTAAGTCCAACTAACGGAGCATATATTATTTCGAGATTACTTCGTACGAACCTTGATAGTAAAGAGATATGTGCCATTACAATAACGTTGTGTCAGAATGTTGTTACTGTTCAGATGTAAAAGTAATATCTGATTGATTCATTTTGGTGATTGATACAAGATGCTTTTAATATAATATCTATATTTATTTCTCCGTAGTGTCTTATAAATGTAACTAAATAAATATATATTAATATTTTAGATAAACAATATTTTAGATGTACCAAAATGTCATGCCTTTTTATAGGTTTAGATCCAATCTCATAATCCCAGAATTATTAATTAATTATAATAAAAATAGTGATGCCTTTGCACTCCACTTCCTATGACATGATCATCAATTGCTCAGATGATCAAGTAGATCATCATTATCGAGCTATTGGAATCTATCATAATAATTGCTGTCAATAACATTGACAGACTATTTCTTCATATCATTAGTAATCATTGTTCATTAAAATGATTAGGGTTATGAATATAATCTTTCAGCTCATAAGAATGTTCTAGAACCATACAGATCTATAATCTATCTCTTAGGTCATATTGTTAATATTTGCATTTATGTCATTAGGGCAACAAATGTGTATTATTTCAAGGTTACATCGTACGAACCTTGATAATGTCGGGATGTAATTCGTTACAATAAATGGTGTCATATTATCAATATTGCTATTTAAAGAGATCATTGTACATTATTGTATATTATTGTATATTATTTAGTATCTTACTTTGTACATAAAAGATATATAGAAATTTATTATTATTAACAAGTATATTTACTTTAACCTACAGATCTCCACCCTTAAGATCCTATAGAATAAACGCCTACCAGCCTTCATTCTAACGTATACCAAATTCAATATACAACTAAATAATAATAAAGGCCAAATAATACAAATGTCATTTATCACGTGATATGAATAATCTGTAAACCTATATATGGAATTCATACATTTAGGTTACAACAGTTACATGCTATTAACATTGATATTTAAAGAGATCATTGTACATTATTGTATATTATTTAGTATTTTACTTTGTACATAAAAGAATATAGAAATTTATTATTATTAACAAGTATATTTACTTTAACTTACAGATCTCAACCCTTAAGGTCCTATAGAATAAACGCCTACCAGCCTTCATTCTAACGTATACCAATTTAAACATACAATTAAATAATAATTAAAAGTATTATTAACAGGCCAATCAATACATTAAGCGTTAGTACAAAGTGACAGGACTATGATGAAAAGATTTACCTTACATGTGAATATTATTATGCATGTGAATATTACAATGACGCTAATCAATAGCTAATGCGACGTATATAAAGGACAGAGTTCCTGAAGTATGAGGCACATATTTATTTTTTGCTATTAAAGGAAAGACAGAGATCTTTATATATTTAATTCTACTGTATAGTTATTATAATAGTTTGATAGCCTCATAGAGCTTATAACTAGTAACCCTAAGTATTGACTTCTACGGCTTGTTTCCCTAGGCAAATACTTAATACCTTATTATTAATGTTCGGGATCCAAACGATACAAAATGATTATTTTGTAGAGCCACTACAGACTTGTTAGACAACTAACAAAAGAACAAAAACCGTTTAATCTAAACTCAAGTCAACATGACAGGAGATAAAATCGAAAAAGCCATAAAGGCACTACAAGAATCCATACAAACAATGAATGCTAAAATGGATACTAACCATGAAGTGATCAACATAAGAATGGATGAAAAACAACAAGAAGATCGAACCTATCGTGACCAGGTTCAACAGAGTTTAAATTCCATGAATTTAATGAAAAACGATTTAACTAGCAGATTATTGGAATTAAAAACAAAGGACGACAAAGAAAGAAAAGCCTTGCAAGAAGTAGCATTTGAGTTCAACAGTTTCCAACATGGACAAGCAAAACTGAAGCGAGAAGCTAAGGAATTTGGCGTAGAACTGAAACAAGAAAGAAACCAAGCCGAATTCGAAGAAGAAGACAAAGAATTAGCAGACATTAGAAAAGGAATTACTATCTATTTACCTTTATACTTACACGATTTCAAAGGAGAAATGATTAATCAAGTGAACAACCTGATTGCCGAACAAGACAATCCAACTCAAGGGAAGATTAACAATAACGAGAAACTACAAAAGGAAAAAATACTATTATCAAAAATTAAAAAACACTCATCTTCAATCATAATTGATGAAGACAACCAAATCATTCTGGAATGCACCAAAAGATTTACTGACGCTAATCTAACACCTACAACATCGATGACAATCGATAGTATCTTTACCAAAGATAACACTTTGGCTATTCTGGAAATACAACAGGCGCTAATCAACAAAAGCGTCAAATACAGTGACTGGAGCATGTTCCTCTCACTCTGCTGCAAGAAAAACACGGCATATCATTTGAAAGACGCAAGAGGAAAGATTATGCCCTGGAAAAACTGTCTTTTAAGTATCTACAAATTTTTCAACTTCCAGAAGGCCTCTTCAATAGCAGAAGATGAAATAGTCAATCGCCAATTGATCGATGGTGAAAATGTTACCATATTTATGTTGAAGCTAACCGCTCTGGAGTCAGGTGATTTAATAGGTTTCGTAACTGTAATATTCGAAGTATAATCTACTGCGAGAATGAAATATTGATAATCATTCGAAGATGGGAAAGGTCCTGCAAAATCGAAATGCCATCGGGTGAGTGGTGGAGTAACTTTCATTTTTGGTAGTTCGACTGGTAAGTCGATGAAACGTTGGTATTTCTCACAGTGTTGGCAGTTCCGAACTATATCCAGTAATAATATCGAGTGTTTGGGATTCCAATACTTTTCTTGAGTCATGGTTTGTTCAAGTACACGATGACAGGAATGGAATCTGTTGTGTACTAAAGTGGCTTTGTGAATATAGTCGATGTCAGTTAAAATGTGATGAAGTTGCTGGTGGTAAAAGATATAAAAATTGTTGTTAACCCACGTAAATATGTGGATAATGTTCTGGTATATTTGCGGTATCGGTAAGTTTTCTCGAAGGATTTGTTGAATCTCAAGGATCTGAGACCAGGATAGGTTGTGGACATTGGTTATGATGAGGTCAGGGTCGTTATTGGGCTCACAATTAGTTTGGGGAGTAGAGGTTTGGAGGTCATCTTTATGTGGATCAGAGAGGGGAGGTGGACCGTTGTTTATATGGGTATCGTCGCTGTTAGGGGAAATCGTCGTATTGAGTCTAATAGTATTTAGGTCAATGTCAACAGCGAGTTTGTCCCATTCTTCTAGATTTAAGGTAGATTGTGAATCTAGGCCATATATACTTATAATCGGCGACCTGGTTGTCGGTGCCTTTCATATATTTCCAGATTAATCGGTAGGTATTTAGTAAATGGAGATACTTGGTTAATATGGGGTGTATGGCAAGTTCAGTCTTTCCGATACTTATGATACCTTGATTGTCGGTATATATCGTAATACTGGAGGATAAAATAAGTCGGGCATTTTCGAGTGTGTGAAGTACCGCCCATAATTCTCGTTCAACTGTGAAATATCGTTGTTGAGTCTCAGTGAAGCGGAGTGAGTATAAAGCAATGGAATATAGGGTAGTTTTACCTTTGTTAGTTCCAGGTTGTAGTAGAATAGATGCGGCGCCTGTAAGGCTAGCGTCTGTGTAAATAATGGTGGGCGCTTCAGGGTCGAAGATTTTTAGGGTGATGGATTTTAAAATGGACTGTTTGACGATGTGGAAATTCTTCTTTTATATAACCTTCTGGAAAATAGGTTTTTCATGATTGGGTAGTAGTTTTGTGGTAGCGAATTGATAGAACGGAGCCAGTATTTGAGAAGCATTTGGTATGAAATTTCGTAAAAAATTAACAAAACCTGTGGATTTCTCTATCGCTTTTTTGTCTTGGGGCAATTCCCATTGAGCAATGGTAGTTTTCTTTTCTTTATCTATAGCTAATCGGTTATGTGAAAGTTCGTAACCAAGGAAATTAATTTTTGGTTCAGCAATATGAATCTTTCCATAACTGAGTGATAAACCATTTTTTGTTAGTAGTGCCATTATGTGTTTCAAAGTAGTGTAATGCTCGGCGATAGTGGAAGAAGCAATGATAAGGTCGTCGTAGTAATAAGATACCGTGGTGTTCTTGGATTGCGGTAGTTTTTTAATGATGTTTTGAATGAACTCACCCCACCAGTAGGGTGCGGAAGCTAAACCATAAGGTAAGCGGTTAAATTTATAACTGCAAAGTTCTGTGATAAGTCCTAATTTGTCTCCTTTTATGAGGATTTGTTGGTAAGCTTTGCGAATGTCTAGTGACGAAAAAATGGTTTTATTAGCAAGGTTGCCAAATATATGTTGGATTGGAGGTATGGATCTCGGTGTGTACAGCAAATGTGTATTAACTTTTCTCAGATCCGTTATAATTCTAATCTTGTCTTTTGATTGTTGTATAGGGAAAACAGGACTAAGTGCTACTAACTCATCGGTATCTATTGGAGATATCATTTTTGTTGCTAGAGACTGTTTAATAAATTGTTCGATCGCTTGTCGTTGTAGTTGGTTGGTGAAATAGGCTTTGGGTTTATGGTATGGAAAATTGTTGAGTCGGACGGAAGCAATGTAATTATGTTTTGTTTTCTTGTTGTTAAAACTGGGTTCGGCGAATACGAGTGGGTATTGTTCACGCAACTGTTCTTTGATATCAGTTTGCATTATTAATCGTATATGAGGTCGATTGGTTAGTAAAGGAGTGACAGTGGGGATGATTACACGTGTTCCATCGATTTCGATAGATTCGTGGTCGTCTTGTAGTTGGTATTTCAAAAGTTTTAATAGTGGTTTTCCAAAAATGATATTATTTCGTTGCTCGGGAATTATAAAGAATTTTTCGTCAATATGCAAATTGTTGGTTTGTATCCTAACCCTTGCTAGTTTGTCAATTATATATCTGTCTCCTATGGCAGGTTTTATTAAAACTGGAGGGCATTGCATAGTGTCAATTATCGTGATTATTAGGTTATGAATTTTGTGTTGTTGGTTTTGTAAAATGGGTTGATAGATAAAATTTGTGTCAGTGTCACTGTCCAATATAATCTTAGGTTGTTTTGTTGTTTTGTTGTTGAAGCATATAGGTTGGTATTATTTAGTTTTAATGAGTTAAATTGAACGGAATTTTCGTTATCACTAGTTGGTTGATCTGAGTATTCGTGTGTATAGTTTCTAGTATTTGATTAGTTAGGTTATGTTCATCATCAGATTCGATATCATGATTGGTTTCGCTTGAATGATGTTGTTGATAGCGATCTTCGTCGGTTTCGTATTCGTTTTCAGTTTCTTCACCATTTGGCATGATTTCGATAGTATTTATATTTAATTTCTTTTTGTATTGTTTGTGAGTGATTTTCTGTCTATTTTGATAGTATTTGGTCTTCATATCTATACACTTGGTACAAAGCCAATTTAAGCATAAACCTTGTTTTGTGATGCGGTAATATTTGATGTTTTTGCATTTAGCACAGTCTCAATTTGTACAGTAAAAGCATGTCTTCTTTTGTATATTTCTGGCTTTCTGCTGGTAGTTATTTAATGTGAATAAATTATTGGTTTGGGCTTTATTGTTTTTCTAGATATGATCTTTTGGTAGACTGTCATTAATGTATGTGACGATATCTTCATATGTTTTGAAGTCAGAAAAGGTTGGCATTTTAATAGAAGGAAATTGTTCTCTCATAATTATTTTTATTTTTCTTAATAGTATTTGAAAGAGATTGATTGATCTATATTCACTCGCAATTGCAGCTATTTGCAACATAAACATGGTTACATTTTCAGCATCGGTCAATACTCAGTTGACTAATGAATCTTCTGCCTGTGAAGCAGCTCTTTGGAAATCAAAGCATCTATATACGACCAAAATACAGTTTGTCCATGTCATGGTTTTGCCTCTTGCGTCTTTTAAATGATAGGCAGTGTTTTTCTTGCAACAAAGTGAGAGAAACATTCTCTAGTCACTATACTTGATTCATTTATTGATGAGTGCTTGTTGGATTTCTAAAATAGCAGCGGTGTTGTTTTTTGTAAAAATATATTTGATTAGCATAGAGTTTGTAGATGTTACGTTTACATCAACATAACTTTTGGTAGATTCCAAAACGATTCGATTATCTTCATCCATAATGATAGGGGAGGCATATTTCCTAATTTTGGTTAAAAGGATTTTATCTTTTTGTTGTTTTTCGGTAGTGACAAATTTCCCTTGAGTTGGGTTTCCTTGTTGTGCAATGAATTTCCTTACTTCATTAATTATTTTTACTTTGAATTTTTTTAGATATGGTGACAATTCGGTAGTAACTACCTCACTAAGGTCTTCTGATTCATTTTCCTTTTCCTTTTCCTCTTCTTTGAGCTTGGATTGTGAAGCCTGATCTTCCAGATCGAACACTGCTTCTGGCTATTTTCTTTCTTGTTTCAATTCTACTCCGAGTTCCTAGTTCCCATTTTAAGTTTATCCTTTTCTAGTTGGAACTTGTTAAAATAAATAGTTGCTTCTTGTCGAGCCTTTCTGTCTTCGTCATCTTTTGTCTTTAATTCCAGCAACTTATTAGCTGAATAATTGTTCTTCGAATTCATAGCTTCTAAATTCTTTTGAATCATAGCCCAATAGGCAAGGTCCTCTTGCTGTCCTTCATCCATTCTAGCATTCTATGCTTGGATTGACTCTTGTAATGCTTTGATTACTTTCTCCATTTTATTTTCTGGTACTTTGAATTAATCTTATTGCTTAAGAATTAACAAAGTTATCAAAATGCTTAACAATATTATATATTGTAAAGATCCGGAATATTGAATATTGATGTATTAAGTACTTATCTAGGCAAACAAGCCATAGATATAAGTACTTAAGGTTACTAGTTATAAGCTTTACTCTATGCGGTTATTTGCCTATTATAATAACTATGCAGTAGTATTAAATATATAAAGATCTGTCTTTCTTGTTGCTGGTATATAGGATTACTCTAGATCCAATTAGCCACTTTAATACTAGATAACTGGAACATTTCTTTATTCTGATTCATACTTATTATATTATATTGTATTATGTTACATAAGGATCTCTGATACAATTTGCCTTATAATTTAAAATGAGCACGTGACTAATTTGAACAATTTTTCAATCTCTGCTGATATGGTTCGTTTTATGTTTCATGTCGAATATGTTGTATCTTATTCGGTAATTGTAGCCGCATTATTAGTCTGGGGGTTACTATCCAATACTGAATCTCAGATAGCAATTGTTGCAACTTTGACTTGGAGACGCTGGGATAATGTTCATGTCACTATCGACTGTATTTCGTACAAGGTGTATGTATTGACTTCTTCCGTATACATAAAAGGAACAACTCTTCAGTTCCGATATATAAGGCTATTTATGTTATATAGACTACTCTGTTACAAGAGGAGGAGCGAGTTACCATTCACAAGACCTCTGCAATAGGACGTGTCCCCTAATTAACGTGTGTCTACCCATATTAAAGCTTTAATACTCTATTTACTCTATCACATTTAAGTGAGGACCAGATCAGGGGTTACACGCATATTGACCGTATAATAGAAACTTAGCCAAAGAATCAATAACAAAAACAATCATATCACAGCATGTCCTTTTCTACTCCTATAGGAACCTATTCCCCCAACAGTAACGACGAACAGTCTTCCTACACTGTACATGACACCAAACACCGAGAGGTCATGTATAGTGAACCATTCGATGCTGTTAATGGACTAACATTCCAAAAATTCTTACGGCGTTACAAGGACACGTTACGAGTCTATAAAGTTGTTGATCCGTCAGAACAAGTGAATACCCTAATCTGTGGCTTAGACGGTGGTACATTACAAACAGTAATGAATCTTATAGAAACACCCCCATCTGAAAGTATCCCAAACTACACCAAAGACCCAGAGGCAATCATAGAGATATTACACCGTGAGTATGTAGGGCCCCATTTAGTAAACTTGGCGTTTAAACGGCTGCAATACCTAAATCAAGGTTCACGCTCAGTAGATGAATACACTGCAGAATTTACATCACTTTGTGAAATCCTAGGTGACTCCATTCCCGATGCCATGTATGCCAAATTCTATATCAACGGCTTACGCCCTGAACTGCAAGCTCGGATCTATGCATTAGCGCCAGACTCATCATTGTCAGAAGCTACTCGTTTAGCGCACATATACACCAACTATATACCACCAACACTGCAACCACAACCTACCTTGGCACAACTGTATGCCAGAGGCCCACCATCACAACCAGTTCCAGCAGTCCAACCCAGTTCTATCAACACCAGCCACAAGCGTTCACACAATCCACCAGTAACATTGATTCAAAATATATTAACCAGGTCCCAACCCAGACCACCTTTACTTCTACTGTATATAATGATGAATTTATGAACACGTTAGTCCAAGCAGTCACCAAAGCCATGAACAGTCGAGATGTCGAATGTTACAACTGTCATCGTCGCGGGCACTACGCTAGAAATTGTAGGTCAGCAAGACGTCACGCTTCCGTGCGTACTTAGCACTCGAATACACGTTCTTCTCCCCATTATACCTGTAGGATTAAAACCATTAATACTCAACCACAGATCGACATCCCCCGTTATGTGACGGCAACGTTAGATTAGACACCATCGAACGTCTTGGTAGATTTAGAAGCTTCAAAGTCCCTCATCAACATTATTATTAGAACAATTAGACTTACCTATCCATGACGCTAAGCCCTTGTAGCTTTGAAATTTATTTAACGATGAAGGCTCACAAACGGCGAACAGTGTCTTATTCGACCTTTCTAGGACATCTGGTAAAATTTGCGCCATTACCTGCTATATTACGAATCAATTAAGTGAAGATGTCCTAATTGGATACCCCACCCAATATTTGTAATCATCAACTATTTGAAACACGGTTAGAAGAACCTATTAGAGTGAGCCACATCTGGTACCATAAATCAAATGAGGAGGAAGATAGAGTATATGAAGATAATACAAAAGAAAACATTCGAATAAAGATAGATTAAAGGAGTTTTAAACCAAGGGAATACAAGTGATCACAACGGCACAACGGATATGGAACACAAAGAAGAATCATTAAGGTGTGAAACAAAATAAGTGTTAGAAAATGTAGTATCCTAAAATATGGTAATCTACTCGTAGGTTTACAGGAGATTGTTACAACGTAATAAATAATATTTATTGCGATAACAAGGTACAATAAAATATTACTAATTCAATAGATTATTAACATTATTATTAATATCAGGTTATAATGAGCAATTATAATAACCTATTAAAATAAAGCAATCAAATCATTGGGAGCGAAGTACCAAGGCATCCTTAATGTAATTGGTTAATAATACAACGAGTATGGAAGTAGATCTAAACATATAAAAGGGCATGATATTTTGGAGTATCTAAAATATCACCTGTCCAAATTTTTATATACATATTTATTAATTTATTTCATTTATAAGACATTGTAGGGAAATACAAATAATTATGACTCCAAAATTATCTTAAATCAAATCACTATAATGAATAATTCAGGTATTAAATATACATCTGAAAATTTTCTGAAAAAGTTTTGAAATCTCAAAATTTTGGCAATGAATTTTTTGAATGCTAAGAACTTATATATGAGAATCCGAAACTACAAATGGAATTTTTTATTGTCAAAGACCAATAAAACTATTCCACTATCAAAGTCAGGCCGGGTCTGAAATTAAGCTCATTAAATATAAATGCGATTTGCGTAGGAAAGAAAATATGTATTATGTAGCAAGAAGTTACGAATATGTAGCAAGAATATCTTAGCCAACTAATTATGTGATTGATATAATATATGGTGAGATGATTATAGTGTTTTTATAGGGGTTTGATCAGGTAATTATGTGAAGCAGAGATAGTTATTGGTATGACAATTCAAATATAGAAAAATCTGATGAACAAACATATACATGTATATATATAGTTGGAAGTTGTTGATGTTACAGATGAAGGAAAATTTTTTTCATTACGGTGTTATGGAATGCTAGCAACGAGCAACGGCAAAGCATGAGAAATGAGGGAAAAAACAGGTATTAAGACAAGTAGGTAGAGACCAACGAACAACGCGATCTATTTGGGAAGAGAAGTCTAGTAGGTAAGTATATACTCTTGATAAATAACATAGACAATGCCATGTTGTATAATGAAATATGATTTATTATATGGTAACAGAATGTCTCCATTTACATATCTATTTCAATTTCAGAATGAGTATACTGAGATATATCTCTTATAGTAATTGTAACTTACGAATATCACATATATTTAAATGTGATTGAAGTAACATGTATAGTAGATACAGTATAGTATAGGCTAGTGTAAAAAGAATATCCAAAAAAAAAAAGATTGCAGCACCTGAGTTTCGCGTATGGTCACCCACTACACTACTCGGTCAGGCTCTTACCAGCTTAACTACAGTTGATCGGACGGGAAACGGTGCTTTCTGGTAGATATGGCCGCAACCGATATTCAATACAAAATGAACTTGATATGTTCTCATTTCAAAAATAAGCACATAATAAGCAAAGTGTTGGGTATATTATTAAGAGTTAAGTAGACAATACATAATAGACAAAGAGTCATGTGCAAAACACGTGGAGTTGAACTAGAAGGGCAATAGTAGGTATTTCTAGCTGTCTTTTTTGTTTCTCACATATATGTGGGTCTATATTTGCCTATAAAGAGGTGCGGGAGTACAAAAACTTGAGTTGAAAAAAGATGGCTCCAAGGAAAGCTATTACAGAGGAAGTAGACCCATGTTAATGATTTGTTTACGATCCAATTAGTTGTAGTATAGAACTACATATATAAAGGTAGAATAAGCAAATATTAAAGCCAGTAAGGTAAGATAAACAAGAAGTAATATATAAAGAGATAATGATAAGAGGAATATGTGGATAACAGGGCTGCACATCCTATAGAAGGTATATCGATGACATGAACAATGATGAATGCAAATAGTTTTTATAGGTTTGAAAAGAGAGAAAGCAATTGATAGAGACTGTAAGAAGATGCAGTCATGCAGCAGAGAGGAAAGTAGAGTGTGTTTTGGGGGCACATATGTTTCCAGTCGGTAAATTAGAAATCTGAGAACACCAGGTGAAACTACAAACATGAATTTACTAGTACACAAAAAATCAGGCTGATCAAAGAACATTTTTTGTCAAGTCAAAAAAACGATATGTTTTTGTATGGGACAACTTTGAAGTAATATATTATTACATTTGATAAAAATCAAAAATCCTTCAAGTCTTCGAGACGAGGAAAAAAAGTTAAGACACTATCACGTGAAAGAGAACTAAAAGTTTTTCAATAGTGCACACACAGGCAGAATATTTTTGAAATTGTTCTAAGAGTTGACAAAAAACAAGTTATTTGTGTAGAAAAGAACATATTTTTTCACGCGGTGAGAACAAAGTGATGGAAGGAAAGTGAAAAAGTAAAATGGAAAAAAACTAGAGAAAAGTAGATGGGTTTAAAGTGAACAAATATTGGAAATGGTTAAAATAGCCGGGAGGTACTTCATGCGAAAGCAATTGAAGACAAGTTCGAAAGAGTTTGGAAACAAATTCGAGTAAGCTTGTGCGTTCGTATAATTATATGGCCTCGTCAATCGGTGGAGAGAGTCTCTGGGTGATCGTCAGATCTGCTCAGTCTCTATACAGCGTTTTGACATGGGCGATGATAGAGAAAAAACGATGAAAGTGAAAGTCTCTTTTGCTTTTCGTTGTTATTTCTTTGTCTTAGCCTGAACAGTCTCATCATAGACATCTTGCGATTCTATTGGTGAGCAGCGAAGGATTTGGTGGATTACTAGCTAATAGCAATCTATTTCAAAGAATTCGATTTGGGGGAATGCCTTGTTAAATAGCCGGTTTGAATTTATTTAAACTGTGATTTTTCAAGTGTAACCTCCTCTCAAGCTGACGATATTAAACTTACATCTGTGAAACATCGGGGTAATGTTTAGTGGAACTTAGCTAGAGGAACTCAAAGAGTGCTATGGTAAGGAATGGATGCGCTGGAAATGAGAGTAAAATCTTATTGACAGAAAGTATCTAAAGATTTTTTGAAATATAAAAATCCAACCTTCTATTAAGTATCTTCTAATGCAAGTGAAAACGGTTTGTGTATTTCGATCGCGAACTGTTTTTATGAGCGTTTATTAAGATAGTTATCTGGTTGATCCTGCCAGTAGTCATATGCTTGTCTCAAAGATTAAGCCATGCATGTCTAAGTATAAGCAATTTATACAGTGAAACTGCGAATGGCTCATTAAATCAGTTATCGTTTATTTGATAGTTCCTTTACTACATGGTATAACTGTGGTAATTCTAGAGCTAATACATGCTTAAAATCTCGACCCTTTGGAAGAGATGTATTTATTAGATAAAAAATCAATGTCTTCGGACTCTTTGATGATTCATAATAACTTTTCGAATCGCATGGCCTTGTGCTGGCGATGGTTCATTCAAATTTCTGCCCTATCAACTTTCGATGGTAGGATAGTGGCCTACCATGGTTTCAACGGGTAACGGGGAATAAGGGTTCGATTCCGGAGAGGGAGCCTGAGAAACGGCTACCACATCCAAGGAAGGGCAGCAGGCGCGCAAATTACCCAATCCTAATTCAGGGAGGTAGTGACAATAAATAACGATACAGGGCCCATTTGGGTCTTGTAATTGGAATGAGTACAATGTAAATACCTTAACGAGGAACAATTGGAGGGCAAGTCTGGTGCCAGCAGCCGCGGTAATTCCAGCTCCAATAGCGTATATTAAAGTTGTTGCAGTTAAAAAGCTCGTAGTTGAACTTTGGGCCTGGTTGGCCGGTCCGATTTTTTCGTGTACTGGTTCCCAACCGGGCCTTTCCTTCTGGCTAACCTTGAGTCCTTGTGGCTCTTGGCGAACCAGGACTTTTACTTTGAAAAAATTAGAGTGTTCAAAGCAGGCGTATTGCTCGAATATATTAGCATGGAATAATAGAATAGGACGTTTGGTTCTATTTTGTTGGTTTCTAGGACCATCGTAATGATTAATAGGGACGGTCGGGGGCATCAGTATTCAATTGTCAGAGGTGAAATTCTTGGATTTATTGAAGACTAACTACTGCGAAAGCATTTGCCAAGGACGTTTTCATTAATCAAGAACGAAAGTTAGGGGATCGAAGATGATCAGATACCGTCGTAGTCTTAACCATAAACTATGCCGACTAGGGATCGGGTGGTGTTTTTTTACTGACCCACTCGGCACCTTACGAGAAATCAAAGTTTTTGGGTTCTGGGGGGAGTATGGTCGCAAGGCTGAAACTTAAAGGAATTGACGGAAGGGCACCACCAGGAGTGGAGCCTGCGGCTTAATTTGACTCAACACGGGGAAACTCACCAGGTCCAGACACAATAAGGATTGACAGATTGAGAGCTCTTTCTTGATTTTGTGGGTGGTGGTGCATGGCCGTTCTTAGTTGGTGGAGTGATTTGTCTGCTTAATTGCGATAACGAACGAGACCTTAACCTACTAAATAGCGATGCTAGCATTTGCTGGTTTTTCGCTTCTTAGAGGGACTATCGATTTCAAGTCGATGGAAGTTTGAGGCAATAACAGGTCTGTGATGCCCTTAGACGTTCTGGGCCGCACGCGCGCTACACTGACGGAGCCAGCGAGTCTAACCTTGGCCGAGAGGCTCGGGTAATCTTGTGAAACTCCGTCGTGCTGGGGATAGAGCATTGTAATTATTGCTCTTCAACGAGGAATTCCTAGTAAGCGCAAGTCATCAGCTTGCGTTGATTACGTCCCTGCCCTTTGTACACACCGCCCGTCGCTAGTACCGATTGAATGGCTTAGTGAGGCCTCAGGATCTGCTTAGAGAAGGGGGCAACTCCATCTCAGAGCGGAGAATCTGGACAAACTTGGTCATTTAGAGGAACTAAAAGTCGTAACAAGGTTTCCGTAGGTGAACCTGCGGAAGGATCATTAGAGAAATCTATGAATGAATTGAGAAAAAGTATATGAAAGCCACATCAAAGAAAATTAATTCTGATGGCCTGCGCTTAACTGCGCGGCTACTGGAAATTGAGTTTCTGTGGACCAACTTTTGTTTGCTTATCTTCTCTTTTCAACTTCTACACACTGTGGAGTTTTTTACTTTACACTTCTTCTTTGGGAGAGCTTGCTTTCCCAGAGGTAACAAACACAAACAATTTTTTATGTTTTAAACAACTAGTCAAACCAATTTCGTTATGAAATACAAATATTAAAAACTTTCAACAACGGATCTCTTGGTTCTCGCATCGATGAAGAACGCAGCGAAATGCGATACGTAATGTGAATTGCAGAATTCCGTGAATCATCGAATCTTTGAACGCACATTGCGCCCCTTGGTATTCCGGGGGGCATGCCTGTTTGAGCGTCATTTCCTTCTCAAACATTCGTGTTTGGTTGTGAGTGATACTCTCTTCTGGGTTAACTTGAAATTGCAAGCCTGTTTGGCTGTGTGTGCTGGCTCGGATAGAGTGATTTGTCCAGTCTGCTAATACAATGTCGTATTAGGTTTTACCAACTCGACAACCTGTGTTAGTAGGTGTTATAAAGATAAATATACTTGCTTCTTGCTGCTGCCCAGTCCGGCGAACAATACTCTCAAAGTTTGACCTCAAATCAGGTAGGATTACCCGCTGAACTTAAGCATATCAATAAGCGGAGGAAAAGAAACCAACAGGGATTGCCTTAGTAACGGCGAGTGAAGCGGCAAAAGCTCAAATTTGAAATCTGGTACTTTCAGTGCCCGAGTTGTAATTTGGAGAAGGCAACTTTGGGGCTGGTCCTTGTCTATGTTCCTTGGAACAGGACGTCATAGAGGGTGAGAATCCCGTGTGGCGAGGAACCCAGTCCTTTGTAAAGTGCTTTCGAAGAGTCGAGTTGTTTGGGAATGCAGCTCAAAGTGGGTGGTAAATTCCATCTAAAGCTAAATATGGCGAAAAACCGATAGCGAACAAGTACAGTGATGGAAAAATGAAAAAAACTTTTGAAAAAAAATGAAAAAGTACGTGAAATTGTTGAAAGGGAAGGCATTTGATCAAAATGGGGGTTTTCCCCCCTTCCCTTCCCGGGGGGAAGGAATCTCCAACTCATTGGGCACTCAGTTTGGTGGGCAGGAAAATCATAGGAATGGCCTGGCTCGGGAAATTTTAACCGGGGAAATCTGCCACTGGAATGAGACCGCAACTTGCCAGGAGTTGGAAAAGGTTTTGCCCGCGCCTGAAACGGACCAGGATCAACTTTTGCAAGTTGGTGTAACCGCCCCATTAAGAACTAGTTGGGCTCCAAGGGCACAAACACCCAGGTTAAGAATTGAAAACAATTTGGCACAAGAGATTCCTAGAGGAAACAAACCGGGAGGGGGCTCCGCACTTCTATGGTGGGAAAAAAACTATGTGTCCCACCAA